CATGTGATAACTCGAATTCAAATTTAAGTATGTGTGTGGGAGCATGGACGGATCTGAAGCCAAAGAGGTAGCANTTGCCCCATTAACATATGAATATCAAATTTTTGTATGTAATTTTATGAAGAAAAATTGTGGTTTGAGTGGTATAACCATCTTTGCACCCACACTCCAAAGTTCAAGTTTCATAATGCTCCCACTCAAAACTATTTTTGGATCCGCCACTGCATAGGAGTTGTAGATGGCAACAATAAATATCACCTTATTTGTAACTTTCTTCATTAGGCTTTGTAACTTTTTGTTCTTTATATATAAACTCATCTCCAAGAAAATACAGTGGAATGTTGGGGGTAAATCCAGTCGAGACTACATTGAATCTAGCGAACTAGTAGTAAAATAGTTTGTCTCGATCGTTCTATTTTTATCCTTTTTTTGCCTTTTGTGTAAGCTCATATAAAATGCGACCCGTTAACTAAATCGAGAAGTGTAGAATTGATTTTTATCACCGGTTTAAACTCCAATGATGCATATGTATATTAACCCATGAATTTTTCACATGTAAACTTTGGAGTAAAATATTAGCTACTTCCTCTTTTCATACTATTATATAACCTTGGTTTTTTCTCATTGTAATGTGCAGACGAACTTACCAACATATACGTGATTCAAATAGCTAGTGTATTAACGGGAATATAATCGTGAATAAATGAATTTTACACCAACAAAATAATGAAGAAGTCAATGGTGCAACTAACTAAAGAATCGATTCTAAACAACCTTTCGTACGTGTATTATTCCGATATCGATATAGAAAAGAGAGTCAAAATCAAGATAATAAAAATTGTGGTGGCAACAAAGAAATATACTCCACATACTCAACTATAGAATAGTTGTATTCTTACGCTAAGTCAGAGACATGCAAGGATATCTACTTGCCTCCATTTTTTATTCCATTCCACAAACTATAGAATATATTATATAATAATTTGCAATAAGCAAATAAGGACAAGATCGGTAGTGGTATATGGATTCATTGAACATATATGAGTTTTCAAATATTGTAAAATATTTTTGTTTCTAGTCTAACCATCATTTCATCAATAATGACCACTTACGCCTATTTGCTTGGTAGATTTGTAAAAGTTAAATATATAAACTATTGTTTTGGTGCCTGACGATCATTGAGGGTGATTTGTTTGTCAAATTATTTCATCACATGTCATCATTGTAGTTAAACACTTTACAAATAATATTGTAATGTTAGTTGAGTCTCTATATGGTTGTAACTATAAGGCTGTCAATTTAATTAGATTGCATAAATAATATGCAAGCCCACATACATTAATTAATCAGAATTTGAGATCATAGAATTGACATTCACATACATAGCTATACATTTTTTCTAATACGAAATTATTGAGTAAGTGAGATCATGTGACTCGTACGTAAGATTCTTGAAAAAGAGAAAACTCGAGTGACCCATGATAATAATTCATTTTGTTGTAAGTACTAAAATGCATAATTATTTATCACATTTTGGACAATATAGTCATCCACCACAATAATCATAACACTCCATTTCTATTATATTCAATGGACCACCATCTATAAAAACCGTCCACGAGCTTTCACATTTTTTTTCATTTTTTTCACTAATAGCCAAAATTTCATCTTTATGAGAAGAGCAACAAATGCTCCCAAATAAGGAAAACCAAACCCAAAAAAAAAACCCTT